GACTGGAGTGCAGTGGCCACTCCGCCACCGCAGCCTTGCCCTGCTGGGCTCCAGCAATCCTTTTGCCTCAGCCTTCCAAGTAGCTGGAACTACAGGCACACGCTATCACGCCCGGCTTATTTTTTGATTTATTGTAGAGATGAGGTCTTGCCAAGTTGCCCAGGCGGGTCTCAAACTCGTGGGCTCAGGCAATCCACCCACCTTGACCTCCCAAAGCGCAGGGATTACAGGCTGAGCCACTGAGCCCGGCCATACTTTTTTTTTTTCAGATGGAGTCTCACTCTGTCACCTAGGCTAGAGTGTAGTGGCACACTCACAGCCACCACAGCCTCGACCTGCTGGGCTCAGGCAATCCTTCTCTCTCAACCTTCTAAGTAGCTGAAACTACAGGCATGTGCCACCAATGCCCAATTGATTTTTTTATTTATTGTAGAGATGAAGTCTCACTAAGTTTCCCAGGTTGGTCTTGGCCCTTTGGTCTCAGGCAATCCTCTAACCTCGGCCTCCCTAAGTGCTGGGATTATAGGAGTGAGCCACCATGCCCAGCTTGCTTTCAACTTCTAAGGGGAAACATTAAGTGGAAAAATATGTATACACACATATGTCTATACACAAAGGGATATATTAAGTATTATAATACAGACTACAGTACTTTCTATTAATGTTTAAAATCAATAAATTTGATTGCATTATTGTGAGGAAAAAAGTTGGTTTTTTAGATAAGATTATGATTTGAGTCATCTTGGAAAATGCTATGTGTTCTTTTAGAAAGGAACATTGCCCTAGTGCGTTACAGTCAAATATCCAGCTAGTCAGCGGTTTTCAGTTGCAAGCAACAGATCTGAACTCTGATTAGCTTACGACAAAAAGGGATTTAATAGAAAACTATTATGTGCAATTCTGGGATGAGGTTAGGGGGTCCAGAATTTAAGGAACAGGAGAAGTGGCAGGAACCAAGGCACTTTCCAGGATCCAGGGAGTGGAACTAAAAAAGGTCTCACTAAGGTCTTATACTGGCCTAAATCAACACTGAGTGTGTTTTCTGTCCTTGTGTAATTCTGCTGAGGATTCAACACAATGAGAGAGTTCATCTGGTCAGCTTGGGGCAAAGAGACCAAAACCACACATATTGGGGAGATGGGCAAAGGTTATTAGTACTGAAAGAAATGGAAATGGATATAGGGTAGTTACTACTTGCCTTATTCTCTTATGCCACCATGCACTGCTTGAGCTGTTCCTTTACTTGGAATGCCCCTTAACTCAGATACCTGTCAAACTCCTATTTTCCCCTCAAAACCAAAACAAAGTAACCAACTTCTGTGAAACCAGGCAGAGGAAATCACTCTACACCATCTTTGTACCTGGCACACACATCCCTTGTTGAATTGCTCACACTATATTGTAATTGTTTCTATCTATATGGATCTCTACTATTAGACTATAAGTTCCTTGAGGGCAGAAGTAATGTTTTTTCCTCTCTACTGCTGAGTGGCTTTGAGAAAGCACATGGAAAACTCTATATAGAGACAATACAGACACAAAATAATTGACTGTTACCTTTGCAAATCTGTGTGATGTTTGAGAAAGCCTGGCAACATCTTCAAGATCCAGGTAAGAAATGATACTCAGGAGCAAATCATCTGAGAGCCGTTCCAAGAAGTCAAATTTACCGTAGCACAAATTGAAGACATAGTCTAATATTCTTGAACCAAATATTAACGCAACTTGAACTGTAATTCAAACAAATCAACAGGGTTATCATGTGCAGTCATTTAAGACTATAATAAAGCCGGGCACAGTGGCACGCCTATAATCCCAGCACCTTGGGAGGCCGAGGCAAGAGGATTGTCTGAGTTCAGGGGTTCAAGACCAGCCTGAGCAACATGGCAAGACCTGCTCTCTACAATAAATAAAAAAAACAACAGCTAGGCATGGTGGCACACGCCTGTGGTTCCAGTTACTTGGAAGGCTGAGGTGGAAGGATCACCTAAGCCCAGCAGGTCAAGGCTG